TATTTTCATGGGGTGCTGAGGCTCGAGCCCAGGGCCCTGCACATGCTAGGTGAGCGCTCACAACCAGTCCCCTATCCAGTTGAGTTTTTAGCATTTTTTAACTAAACCACATGATCTTTTCAAGTAAGGTCAGTCCATGGCACCCCAGGCAGCAGTCCCCCAGGTTTGCCTTCGTGTTCCCGTGTGTTGGACGCTCCAGGAAGACTCTCTGACCGTTCCTTTACCGGCTGGTTCTTACGTTGCTTCTGGACCCACAGTGGTTCTAGAAGAGCGGTCTTTAGGCCAGGGCATCGTGTCAGCCGGGGCCTGTGAGAGGCAGCCTGTCCCAGAAGGCCTCCTGGCAGGGCCTCTGCCCAGCGGGCAGCTGGGAGCTGGGCAGTCTTGCTCGGGAGCTGGAGCTGTCCTTTCGGAACCCTCCTGGTGCACGGCAGGAAGGACTGGACTCCTTTATTGTGCTTCCTTTGAGTCCTGTGAGCAGGGAGGCTGGCCTCTGTGCACCTCACTTTTTAAAACCCAGCTTTATGGAGACGCACTTCACATACCATAAAATCCACTCGTCTGAAGTGGGCGGCTCAGCGGTTTGTCCCATGTCCCTGCTGAGCCAGCACCGCTGTCCTCAGAGTCAGGTTCCATTTCAGTGACCTACCTCTAAGCCCTGGGTGCCCCTGGCTCATGCCGCCGCTCTGCTGGCGGTTCCAGAATGCTGCCTCTGGCTTCCACGACCTCTCTGTTTCACTTGTGTCCACTGCTGATGCCCCTCTGGGAGAGGCTGCCCTTCAGGTGGACATCACACGTGTTGGATGTCCAGCACTGACCACACACACCATCCATCCCCAGGCAGTGCCACAGCCACATCACCYGCAGCTGCGGCTCCCCAGGTGAGCACTGCCGTCCCCACCCATCTGCAAGGACCTCCCAGGGGGCTGTGGCTTCCTCTCTGACCTGTACATCTGGGGATTCTTGCATTTTCTTGTCATTTCTAATTGCAGCCCATTGTTTGCAGAACAGATTGTGTGTGATTTCAATCCCCTTTTAATCCATGGGCACTAATATTGGTGGAAAACTCGATCTTTGCCAGAGTGGCCCAGGTGCACTTGATAAGGACCTGTCGTCCACACCTCCCCGTTCCAGCCACTGGCCATCACTGTGAACTGGCCTCCTCCACAGGTCTGCAAGTTTTTTTTGGGGGGGGAGTGGATCCCAGGGGTACTCTACCACTGAGCCACATCCTCAGCCCCTTTATTTATTTACTTTTTTTTTTTTTTTAACCTTTGGTAATAGGGATTGAACCCAAGGGCTCTTAACCACTGAGCCACCTCCCCAGACCTTTTTTTATTTTTTATTTTGAGACAGGGTCTCACACTAAGTTGCTTAGGGCATTGGCTAAGTTGCTGAGGCTAGCCTTGACCTTGTGATCCTCCTGCCTCAGCCTCCTGTGTGCCATGGTGCCCAATTTTAGAAGTCTGAAAATCAACCAAACCTACACACACACACACACACACACACACACACACACACACACACACACACACATCTTCTCAAGAGAAACTACTGAGCCTCAATAAAATTAGCAGTTGACTTCATCAGAAAAGTGAGATGAAATTGACTCTCAGCCCAAATTCTCTATCTATCTAGTGGAAGTCTTCAAAAATAGCAAAGTTGAGGCTGGGGTTGTGGCTCGGTGGCAGAGCGCCCACCTAGCCAGTGCAGGGGCACTGGGACAATCAGGAGCACCACATAAAAATAAAGGTATTGTGTCCATCTACAACTAACACAAAAATATTAAAAAATAGCAAAGTTCAGACATTGCCAGATGAACAAGAAATAGAACAATTCACCATCAGCAGAATTGCCCAAGAGTTTTCACAAAGGACKCAGTTGACTTGGTCCACTGAGGATAGGACCCTGTGAGGACTACAGCATGGCTGTCCTCAGAGACTATGGCCCTTTTGCCTTAAATACAATTGCCTACAGTTGAGCACATGCAATCGTGCTGCTGGAGCTGCAATGTGCAGAGACCCACTGTGTGATTCTCACGAGAGGGAGGGAAGTGGGGAAGGAGCGGCCATCTCACTGTGTAGGAACCACTGAGGGCCACCCTCATGGGGTGACACCAACAGGAAAAATACATACAGTAAAATCTGCAGCAAGGGACTTAAACAGAGTCTCCTCACCAAAGGAGGCAGCGGGAGGGAGGATCGGCCACAAGCCTGGAGACACTAAAGAGCAACCCATCTCAGGGCACCTCATCAAGAGACAGATGGCAGATGCTCCAGAGAGCAATGGTCCTCCAGCCACAGGCCCTGGCCAGGGGCCGCACTGTAGATTCAGAGACAGTGAGGTGGGAAGGCAAGGGACGGGAAGGACCAGGAAAGCAGTAGCCCACAGAGAAGTAGCCCAGCGAGAAGGGGAAGTCTCCCAGCAGACAAGAGCCACTGCCTGTGCTTGAGAGCAGGTGTCCGGCAACAGCAAGTCCTGCTGAAGCGAAGCACACTGTACRATCTACTACAAAGACACATGGCTATAGATTGGTGGCACCTGACAACAGAGCCCCACAATACTTGAAGCAARGCCTTGCGGCCAGGTGTAATGGTGCACACTTGTAATCCCAGGGACTCCAGAGGCTGAGGAAGGAGGATGCAACATAAGGGCCAGCCTCAGCAATGTAGCAAAATCGTGTCCCAAAATAAAAAA